AGATCAGGTAGCCAAGATGCAGAAGCATAATAGTTGGCAGAGGCGCAAGTTGAAGTGAAAGCAGAAGGGGCATTGTGAGCAGACCACGCGTTTTCCAGTAGCATGTTAAGTACGTCGTCATTTGTAGCTTAAAGCACTTTACGAAAGTGTCCCTCCTGTCTGTCTAAAGTGAAAGTTGCCCCACTTCATCCTCTTCTTATTGACCTCACCTCATCCCATCCAATGTCTCGTCCCTCACCTCATGTACGCCGTATCCTCCCTGGCGTACATGAGGTACTACGACACCCATTCTACTGATGCGTCCTTGGCCCATGAAACGAGGATTGAGGAGTTAGCAGTGTGGATGTAATAGGGTGGAGTGATGAACCAGGAGTAGGAAATGGTAGTAAACCATTCATTTTAATGTTCGAGGTACATGGAGCTCGATAGTCGTATACGCGAATGTAATATTCAAATGTGCAGGTTTATTGTTAATTTGATATATGGTCAGAGGAGGCAGATAGGTGGAATGAGAGATTGATGAGGAAAAGCAGCATCAAGCATGATTAAAAGCAGGTTGGCATGGAGGGAGCCAAGGAGATAGAGAAAAGTTGTAGATGCGGATATTTGGAAGGACAAGAAGAGCTGGAGGGGAAAGGAAAGAAGAACCAAGTTGGATTGACCAGGAATGAAGAACATGGAGAAAACTTCGCTGAAGCGCAATCAACTCAAGGATGTCATTGATAAGTAGCTGCATGAGCAAAGGAATGCATGAATTCTCTATCTAATCGGTTTACTCAAATCACCAAACTTAGTAAAAAGCTCTTATACCGATTCCCTGCACTCTCGGTAATTTACATAGATTTGAGTGTTGAACTTGTTGGTCCTTTATGCTTGAATGTTCTCAAGAGAATTGGAAAAAAATGTAGGTGTATTATATCCTCTGGAATGTCTGCAAACACCGAAAAAGTTTCGGTATCTAATTTTTCAATATTCGCATGTTTTTAATTTTAGCTTTTAAGTTATTAAATGCTGTAATAATTTTAGAGGTTTTCACTTGACCAAAGATCTTCGAGCATAGTGTGGACTTCTGCTCCTGTATAGCCTCTCCTTATTGGCTTATATTGAGCAGAGATATGCTGCATATGAACGGCTAACCACTCTAAGGCCAAGGTCAATTAGCACCATAAATAGGCTGAAATTAAAGGACTTAGCGATCATGGTATTCCCGCCGTTCAGTCTTGTAGTAGCTACCAGGACTGCAAAAGCTCGTCGTGTCCAGACTTGCTCACTACCGCACGTTAACAGTGAGGACATCTTTAGACCCGACACAACGCAGAACCTGTCCCTACCC